TGACTCAATCGCCTGCCCGGGCCTTTAGGTCCACTGGCCGCAGTAAGACATTTGTCAAAGCATGCTACAATGATGTATGGCAATAGCAGGAGTTGCACAGACTCCGTATTGCCCGGCCGACACATACCATGAGCTAATTTTTTTCCCATTTTTCATCTTGCGCAACGGTGGCGCAGGTCACACATTCATTGTGGTGGACCCCAAAACTGTCGGCAAGACATGGAACTAGGAACCCCGCGTAATACAGGTGGTCTTGCGCTAAGTTCCTGGAAGGATACCAATTCCCGTGACCCTAACCTTAACCCTAACCTCAGCCCTAATGTCCCTCAATTTTAGCGTAAAGTCGCCTGTATTGCAGGGGGTGTTCCTATTCCTGTGCCCTCCCAAACTGTCAATCTCATTTAAATAGAAGCCAATTCCTCTCCAAAGGTCCTGTGTTACTCTCCCACTTGTACGCGCCTCCCATCCGCATGACAATCCGATTTGAACCGATATTAACGCGCATTTAAAGACCTGCGGATCGCGCGTCGCACCGTTTCTGACAGTCGATGGTGGTTTTGGGCGAGTCCTGCGGCTCCCGTTGACCGTGATCGGTGTCACCTCTGTTATCACTGTCTGCGGTTAGAATTGGCAGGCACATAATGTCCAGCTTCTCCGTTGATTGGATCCTTTGTAAGGTAACGGTGCAGGGCCACGCAGGTCAAAGGTGGGTCGATACGACGACCGGCTGAGCGGTCTTTTGACAAATAGGCTCCCTGTAACTATCCTGTCCTGTGGTCGACACTTCGGCCCACTGCCTAAGTTGCACCAGAGTCAAAGTTGTGCCTATTTGATTAAGTAAGTTGTCACTTGTGACTTCAACGGTCCATTACGTCCTTCTGTGGTTTTCGAAAGGTTCCACTGATGTAATTGTCTTCTTCGCAGCTACTCCTGCGGCAATAGACGAAGGATGACTTCGCGTTCGGGGTGGGGTCTGTTGAGTGTATCAACTTCCGGCAAACTCTTGTGTTAGGCCTGCAGATGACTCTTATTTTAATGGGCACATGAGCTTTAGCCATGATCGCCGACACTTTCCACGTATAGAATTTTCCACCATCACTCGGGCTGACTGCTTTCCACGTTTTGGCTCTCTTCAAAGAGTTCTGGTGCATATCCGTTGGGCTTAAAGAGCTTTCGAAGGTAATTGATATCTTCCTGCTTAGGGGACTAAAGTTATGCTGAGTTTCCACACCCCGGTAGGGTGCGTACGCAATTCTGCTTTGTTACAATGGGGGTTAGAATCATAGCTACGAGGTCGCAAAATGTTCGCAGGTATCCTATACCCTGTTGTCGCCAGTTAACCGTCTGGTTGGAAGTAGAAGAGTACATCATGGGAGAAAATAGGTCCTCCATTTCTTTCTTCGTCGTGAATCGAGAGAAGAGTCCAGATTCCTACCGTACCCATCCTTATTTTTATCCACTGACAGGGATTTCGCGACATAGTGCACCAAAAATTGGGGTTTGCACGCCTGAAATAGCTGATTTTCACTATTAAGTCGCCGTCCTAGTGGTAGAGGACGTCTCGTGTTGAAATAGGTTGTGAATTAATCATATATTATCCAAACCGCGGTAATTGTAAGCGTCAGTTATACCAGAACCAGCAAACCAGGCCTCTCGCAGCGTTGCGTGCGCTGGCAGCTCTATGGCACCTGCTTCCCTGTCGAAAGATGCAATGGCTCAAATCCTGATCAAGAGTTTGTTGTGGATCAGGGGGTGTGGTGATACGTCTAGGTGCGGGCCCAGCCGTACCCGACACCTGCGCCCTCCCTCACCACCGGTCTTTTTGATCATGTCTCGACACCGGGCCCAGGTGGGGAAGAGAGAGTGCAGTGGATGCTGCGCATGTTCACACTCACTATAAACTAAATCACGCACAAGTCGCCGGGCCTGCTTTACCTTGCTGTGGGGCACACGGTAGACATCGTCGAGCACGACGGTCGAACTGTCATCCAAACCGCGGAAATATTAACTCATGAGTACAGCGATTCTTGAAATGTGACTTCCACACTCATCACGTATCTAGTTCCCTATCGTATCCAAGCGGGAATTCCCAACAAAGTATAGCAATTTCTTGGGATTCATAATTCTCGAAAGGTCAGCTTCAGCACTGACTCGATCGCTCAATCCACGCCAATTATGCACATCGCAAGCCCGCCTCCAACATTGAACGGCATTCCGGAGGAACGGATAGAAGGAAAATTAGATTTTCTTCGTAAATATGCTGGTACCGTCTTGTAGGATGGAGGAATTTTTGTTTAGGCAACCCAGAGCCACTGCGCGACCTGAGATCATCCCCACGGCCCCTTGGGAATGAAGTCCGGACAATACCTCCCCCAGAATGACGAACGATTTTATGAAATCCGTACAAAGAATCATTTTTTCAAATGAACTGTAAACCGAAGTAACGAATGAAAATGAAAGAAGCTGGAGTGGAATAAAAGGATAGAATAGACAGGGGGAGAACGGATTAAAAATCAAAGATGGCTATACAATCCAGACCAGGTAGTCACTCCTGTGAAAAAAACTCGGCATAATGAGGGCGGAATCCTCCTCCGACAAAGCGAACACCGAAGGCCAATGTACAGAGTCTGCTCAACCAATCGAACGAAGTTAAAAACGTACTCGACGAAACCAAACCTGATATCATGACATGCACAAAAACAGGACTTTCTGCAGGCAGCGTTAACTCCGAGATAGCAAACAGAGGGGGTGTCAACTCCTTAGAAGGGATAAACGAAACAGCGGAAGAGCAGTCACGTCCAGCCAGTTGTAGGCTCACCGCATTTGCTGAAAAACGCAACCTGGCATAAGAATTTAAACTGTTCAGTATCACTATTTACATCAAGTACGTTAGGTCGCTAACGTTATCGGTCGTATGCCGTCCGCCTAACTAGACTTCGCGCCGTGGTCTTCACCTTTATTGAACTGCGCACGGGCGGCGTGAAGAAATATGTCCTTACTGCTGGGGATTTTAATGGCTCTGGCACCGACTAGCAAACGTGAACCGCGCAGGCCCATCGGATAACTATGATAACAAATTGTCATGGTGCGCAGCGAGCGACCTGTCAACGTTACCTTCGGGACAGGGGTTAAGGGAGGACAAAGATCAAACGGACTTACAGTTATTTTTACCCGAGTATGAGTTGTGCTCCAACTACAAGGTCAACCACCAATAGGGTCTGCAAGTACACTGTGTTGCGCTTTAAATGTCCGGCATTTCCGAAATCAAATTTGTCTTATAGGCGAAAGTGAAATATTTGGAAAGGAGACTACCCTCTCATGAGAGGAGATGTGTCAGGGTTGCCATGGGTAACTGCATCGCGCAATAAAATAAATAACCACTGGAGGAATCATTTCATCAACAAGGCAGAAGTAAGACAACTAACCGCTCAAAGTAGATAAACTCCAAATTCAGGCCTCGTTTTAAAAAAACCACTTTCTTAAGTGTTATACACCAAATAGAACGTCGTATAAAAACATATCTTGTGGACTATCTGGAAGAAAGCAATACGATGACAGTTCGGTCACCGAACGACTATGTCTATCTACCGTACTCTCTCTTCTCTCGTCCACCTAAGGCCGGTGCCAGGACAGAATTCAGGATACCGGAGGCGTGATCAGGTCCAGTGACTGACAAAACTAAGCAGCCCGACTGTGCGTGACAAAAACGCCTGGGCTCGGATCCCGAATGCATGAGTTGTAAAAAGGCCATATTTAGAAAGATCCATTGCAACTTGAATCTCCATCGCAAGAAGGGAACGAAGTTATCCCGTCAATTGGCAGCCTCCGGAGCCTCCATATGACCCGGTCTGTGAACGATGAACCAATTTTCCACCAAAACAAGTGCTGGGCCTGGATCCGACTTAAGTGAGATTTCCATAGAGGCCTCAGTAAGAAGAAGCCATTGCAGCCTGACTCTACGTCCTGAAAGGAGGTCCGAATTAACCCATCAGTTTTCAGCCCTCCAAGGCACGACTTTTAGCACTACGTGAGAGTTTAAAAGTGCCTTAGATTCTTTATGGTGAGGAATATAGGCTGAGTGTCGTGTGGACGGAGCCCTCAGAGTCGACCTCTCTCTCCCAGGCACCAGTCCACTGTCTGTCATTTGGTGCAAGGATTGGGCGCGGCGGCTGAAAAGGCTGGACAGCTTGTCTGCGTGTGCCATTGAAGAGTATCTGGAAAAAGGCAATATACTGTGCACTACGCAACATGTCTTTCGTCCAGGATGCTCTCGTCCCACAAGTTTTAGACACATTAGAAATAGGCCAGGGCGGCCAATAAATGC